CATTTATTCTTCATTTCATCGTCTCCTTTACGCCACACTTCTGCACGAGACTAAGCCACCTCTCGTATCACTGCAACTAAAAACAAACCCAAAACCCGTCGACATCGATCAAAGCCTTCTGAAAGAAAGGGAGCAGATGCTGATGACTGACATGATAGGGCAGTGCTGTTTAGTCCATGTAATGAAGTATGTGACATGTGTCGCTAAAGATCACATCTTGACCCTATTTTTAGGGACTAAAGCGGTGGTTCTTAATTCTTTACACTGACAGGCTGCTGGCCGTCTGTCCTGACATGTAATTAGTGCATGTAATTAGATCCACCTGGTGGATTCTGATGTTGCAGGTGATTCTTGGATGTGTTTAAGGAATCCCAGAAAATCTAAACTGACTTCTTAAAACAACAAAATCAAAATTGTATTCTCCCCCCCCCCAGACTTATTTAATTTGTCTGTCCCGTCCTGATTTGAGTGTAAAGTCTCATGTTCCTGATTTGTTTCTCTCACTTGTTAATGGAGCTCATAGGATGAGTTCAGGCAGAGTGCTGAGGTCAGACGTTCATTAGCTGATTGGCATCAGATGTTTCCATTTTGCTTTGTTTGTGCTTAATAGTCTCACAGACTCATTTTTTTCTGAATATCTTGCACGTTTCATAAAGTTTATAAATGGTTGTATGATCTCTACAAAATAGCCCAGCTGTCAGACAAAAGTCGAGTGCAGAGGTCAACATTTCCATCTGCGAGTAAAAAATCTACAAAATTAAAATAGTGAAAATGTTCCTATTGGTGGTGCAGGTGAATGTGTTGACTAACAGTATGCTGTCTGTACAAAGCTGCTTTGTTTGAGGTGAAGACAAAATCCAATGACCCGCAGCAGCCTGAGAACGTGGAACACGGCAACACTCTTTGGGTTTGGCTGTTCTCAGAAACCAGCGTCCATATAAATAATGTCTGAATAAAGATGTCAGAAATAAACAAGAGAGAAATGTTTTGCAGATCAAAAGGAAACGGGGGCCATTTGAAGTGCTCGCGGTCAGGACATGCTGTCATTCAACCGTGCCCCGTCTGCTTCTAATCTTCCCCAGGTTCAAGTGTGTGTGTGTGAGAGTGTGTGTCCACCTTTATGCATCTATCTTTGTAAGTATTTAAGCTTCTGGGAGTGTGTGTGCATACAGTGTTCTTGTGCATGTTTGTGTGAGGACATTTCTATTCAGACAATGCAAGAATTCATACTTGTGTCGGGGATTGTGTCACTCAGGCCTTAAAGAATCCATTTGCAACCTTTCAACACTATATTTGGGCAATTCAAACAGGTAAAGGGCCTCTTGACCTTTTTTTTAATGCCCCATTACATGCAGACCACACACAGTATACACAGCCTCTCCACATCACTGATGGCACCGCAAGTAGGTAATGAGGTAGGACCGTAGCAGGGGAGGCAGCAAAATATCAACAGAGAGTGACGATAGGGATGAAGTTAGCTTTAATGCTGCTGCTGCAGAGCAGAGTGTTCAGTCAACCCTCTGAGGATAAGCAATGGTTATAAAAATATGTAAGCTCAGCTGCTCTGGAGAGGATGACTTCGGGGGTTAGAACCTCGATCAGAGGAAAGCTGCAGCTACAGTATAGATTATTATTTAAGGAAATTATCTGGCATTCTGATAAAGCAAGTTTTTGGATTAGCGTGTTAAAGCTGTGCTTATCGTCTTTTTTACTTCCAGGCTTTACGAACACCAGTTATGTTACTACTTATTTAAACCCATACCACGATCTTTTCTTAAGCTTAACCAAGTAGTTTTGTTGTGTAAGTAAACCTAAAAACAAAGTAAACCTTACGTTGGAAACTTGTTTTGAAAAGAGACGGTATGTGACAGTGAGGTGAAGGAGGCTAAAAGGCCTCACAAAGCTCCAAAGAGAGGGAATATGTATCTGTAAGCGTTTCATTTGGAGAGACTTATGTACCATGTCAAGCCCCCATCGTCCAATAACAGGTGTTTTCACTTATGTTGCCTGATTAGACCTCTTCTCAAAGTTCTGTTGGAGTGAACAGCATATATAGTACAAAGTACAATGGTTTAATAGGCAAGGCCACTCAAATTGCTTTACATAATGCATTAAAAATATCATAAATATATTAATATTAAAATTAAACAATTGCATTTTAGAAAAAGTGAAAGTAATTATATACTTACAAAGTAGAATCACCCTTATAGTGACACATCTTCAACATGCAAAGGCACACTGGTACACACACACACATATCCCTGTACTTCTATCTTTAAGAGGACCCTCACTGATATACTGCATTACCAAGGCCTTTACCTTAACCTACACCTAATTCCAACCTGAACCTTAAAACCAAGTCTGAACCCTCAATCAGCCCTTTGCAAAATTGAGGACCGGCCAAAATGTCCTCGCTCCGTGTCTACACACACACACACACACACACACACGCACGCAGTCATCGACCAGGCCAGGTACAATTGCAGATGTTGATGACTTAACAATAAGCAATGTGGCGTCTGTCATTTGCCCTTTTACTTGGGATTAATACCTTTCTCTCTCTCTCTCTTTTCTGACACCCATTCTGTTTTTATCCTTCCCTTCCTTCCTCTGTTTCCTGTCCTGTTTCTCTACTTATTTTCCTCTTTTTTTTTATTCCTAACTTCCTCTTCATCTTTTCCCCTTGCTCCATTTTTTTTCTTCTTCTTTTGCTTCCGTTCACTTTCTCTCTTCCTATCTCTTCTTCCTCTCTTCTCATGCTCCGTCTCTCTCACTCCGTCTCTCTCTCCCGGGCACTCATTCACAGTATTTCTCTATCACCAGTGCTGTTCCATTCATGCGATTCAGAGCCAGCATCATCTCAGCGCTATCACCGCCCGACAGCAAGCTATTTCCTGCTGCATTGTTTGATATCATGCTCATACACACACACACACACACACACACACTTGCTGGTGACAAAGTCAGAGTCAGAGCAAATGTGTGTGTTAGGTTGTGAGTAAGTTACAAAGTGAATGAGACGGATACAAAGAGAAATACGAATTTAAGAAGTGCTTATTCTGATAATCCTGCTCTATTGGATTGCTGGAAACACGCAAAATCCGGTTTGTTTCACTCATTTCAAAAGACAGAGTGTTAAAGACTAAGCTGCTTGGCTTGTAAGCATCAAAGTAGAAACATAGGGAGAGTGCAGATAAAAGGGAAGAAAGTGGACAATAGAAGAGACAGATCTGGGGCAGAGTGATTGTTGACTTTAAATGTTCTTTAAATGGAAGAGTCCACATAGAAAAAATACATTTTGAGTATCAAAAACTCTCTTGCAGACTTAAAAATCCCCTTTAAAAAAGTGTAGTTTGTACATTTGTATCTGTAGTCATCTTTGTTGCAAACAAAGTTTTCCACAGAAGGATGAATCCAACATGTCATGTAACCTGGTTTATATGCTAAAAGGTGACGGAGTGTATCTGCAGCCACCTTCTAGGAGCAATAACTGTCATGGAGGACAAGTGATTGGATGCAGCAGTTAATGGACTGAATGTCCCGCCTCCAACAGCAATGCAGCAGCCGAGGCCAACTGACAATTTACCGACTAATTATAGTTCTACGAAGAGACATTCGACTTTGATAATGTCAGAACAGTTATTTACCTCTTTTCAACATTTACTTTAATTTAAGATAACAGAACGGCTGATTGTTTTTTAAAGGGATAAAAAGTAGCTTTAGTGAAAGGTAGAGGTTAAAAGAGAGGATGAAGAAAGATCAAACGTACTCACAGACAGGCAGAGATAGTGGATGAGAGACGGATTGACAGACAGACATGTGGGGGGGGGGGGGGTTCTAATGCTTAATGATTGGTGGTTAGCATAGTTTTGTAAATGCATTGGCAGCAAACACCCTCTTGTCTTGCCAAAAGGGCTCATTAAAAAGGAAAAGAGAGACGGAATGTAGAGTGACAGTAGAAAACACCAGAAATAAGCAGGTATTTTAGCTGTGTCCCTTTGTGCAGTCACTCCTCATGTATGGCCCTTATTTTTGTCTGGTTGCAAATTTTAGTGCTAAAATAAAAGAAGAATAAAAAGAATGGCTAAATCTTCGCAATTTTATTTTATAAACAAGTTCTCTTTTATGTATAACTTGTGTTTTGTCTACAGCAAGTCATTTCTACGTAGACGGGTAGCGGGGTAATAATCTGTGAGATTATAAAATCATAGTTTTGCGAGAAACAAACTCAGCAATTCTCTGAGATTAAAGTGAGAAATTTATGGCAATAAATTGATGAGGTTTTATTTTTCAAAGAACCAGGTTGGATCAACCTCATCACACCACAGACCCCATGCTGAACACTGCGGTAGCTTAACCCGCCGAGTGCAAAACTGTGGTTACGCCAGCCGCCATCTGAATTGTGTTGCTCCTATTGTTATTATGGCAAGTTCCTGAGAGATACATAGACATTTACTTTTACGTTCTTGATGGGTCCTGTTATAAACATAATGCTGATATCTGTATGCATTGTACTTTGTCATCATGTTAGACATTTTTTTGTAATTTTCATTTAGCCATTTAAGATAAATCCTAAAGATTGCCTCTCTGACGGTCGGCCTCTGAGCGATGCCAAGTTCCTGAGAGATACATAGACATTTTCTTTTGCATTCTTTCTGTGAACTTTCATGAACCTAAATAAATTGTAATATTGATAATTAATGAATTTTGCATTCGGCAGCAAGGTAAAGCAATTTAAAATAATTTTTGTATTTTTTTCTCTTGCAAAATTACGACTTAATTATCTCAGAAATAATATGAGTATTTTTTCTCAGAGTATCCCCCCCCCCTCCCCCGGCTTTGTATTTGTATTTTTTTTACCTTCATTGTCCGTAACGCGCCATCGTACTGAGGTCTACTCTTTAAATTGAAAAAGTTACATACGGCACACATGGTAACATGGTATATTTTAGTGTATGGATGTATTGATTGGTTATCCCTCTTCTACCATTGGTCTGCAGGTACTACGCTATCTGCTGCCAGCCTCTGGTCTACCGGAACAAAATGACGCCCATGCGAGTGGCTCTGATGATCAGCGGCTGCTGGGTGATCCCCACCTTCATCTCCTTCCTGCCCATCATGCAGGGCTGGAACAGCATCGGCATCGACCACCTGGTGAGTCCGTCGGTGTCCGTGCGCACACCAGGGGAACTGATTCACCAAGCAGCCTGTGTTGGTTCTATATGAGGATGGAGACAAAAAATAGTCCAAATCTCCACAGGAAATGAAAGTTCATGATCGTAATACACTGCTGTGAAGTGACGATTGAGTTCTCTGGAGGGGAGACAAAGAAAACGCACAAAAATTTGAAGAAAAGAAATAAAACAAACCATTAAAAAAAAACAATTAGTATCAGGATGTGCTGATAAACAGATTATGTTCCTGAAGAGTTTTTATTGTTTACAAGATGGAAATGATTCATATGTTGCTATGGCAACAGCATCAACACGTCGGACAGAAACAGACGGACGAGGCCACTGACACCACAGACACGGGGTCAAGCTCTTTCACGGATGAGTCAGTGCTATGAAAGTTTTTTGTGGTGAGGTTTGTTGAATGTCGAGCAAGAATAGAGAGAGAGAGGGATGAGAAGAAATAATCTGCTGCAAAATGCTAAAGTATACACTCTGAAGGTATTAGAAGAGAGCTTCACTCAACCCGGGGTCAGGATCAATGTGAAGGGGAAGCATGTTGGTTGAAGGTGGTTAACTATTGAAAACTTTATTCCCCTCAAGCATCAAAAAATCCTTCAAATGAACAATTTAACTAGGAAAAATCAGTTGAACTGCAATAAGTTGTGGCAAGATATTGATTTGTTTCAGAAGGTCACAAGCCTTACAAGTTAGGAGCAACTGTGTGAGAATACAAAACAGCTTCTACTTCTTCCAGATCATGTTGAGTGCATTAAGCGTAGATCACACAGAATGACAGAGGAAGAATGTAGAGAAAGAGGTTCAAGCAGCTTACAGCATGTTCTTTGCTTTCAACAACCATGTTTATGACATATCTTATCATTTGAACGGCCGTGTTTAAAGGATCTATAGCGCGTGGTCTAAAGTGCATGGCTCAAGTGCCTTAAGGGTGTTTAGGGCTAACTCCACTAGGCAAAGTTGTTGTATATCATCTCTTAATTGAAGGTGAGGTAACTTTGGAGAAACAAGCAAGATTAAGCTTGTTTTAAAAATGAACCAACCGAGAAACCCAGCCCAGTTAAACCAACTCTGTACCAATGAAAGCAGCATTAGCTCCAAAAGTAAAATAAGATAAATAAGGAACAAATTCTCCAAACATATGAACACGATATAAAATTGCCCGACCATGAATATATGGAGTATGTGATAATTGGGAAGGTTGTTAGTGTTGCATTACATAACTGAACATGTCAAAGTTTAAACGTTTAAACGTTTATTGTGCCAATTTGTGAATGAGAAGTTTGAGGGAATCAGTCACTAAAGACAGGACGACTGAATGAAAATAGCAGAGCGACGCAAAGCGGGAAGTGGAGGAGAGAGACAGTCAGACAGGTGTGCAGAAAAAGACAGCATGAGTGTGTGAGGAGAGAGAGAGAGAGAGAGAGAGAGAGAGAGAGACTCCCCAGCCACCATTAACCTCGCTCGCCCCTTTCTGCCTTTATCTGAACGCCAGCAAAAGTTACTTCCGGGCCCACTGTCACCAGGAGGACTGGATGGCTCGTCTTTGGCAGCATTGGCAGTGATTCACTCATTCTACACACACACACACACACACACACACACACACACACACCACAAAGAAGTTTACAGCACAACAGCAGTCTAAAGTTAGCGCTGTTCTCTTCGGGTCCAATTAGAGCTGTTGAATATTCTGAGCAGCCCGTCAGTTTTGGCACAAACAGCGGCTCCAAAAGTGAACAAAACAACCAGAACTCTGGAGCCACTCGAGACCCGCGTACAAGTCACACTGTCTATTTTCACCGTTTCCTGCTGTTTTCATGGCCGTGTGGAATACACAGCTCTGATTGGTCAGGGATCACAGTCTGTGGTAGACAAGTTTTTTGATCTAACTTATCGTTATGAAGTAAATAATAATGCAAATAATGACATCATCAGCGTTTGCATTGGGTCCTTATGAAATAAGTAATCCAGCATGAATAAAATTATCAAACAAATGAATCAACTAAAGAAATCTCAGTCGATGAAGACCAAAAGGGGGCGGTCCTTCTCCAAAGAGTATCAGTGTAAGTTACCATCCCACTAGAGGAAATGGTGCACGGTGCAACAACTGAAGCAACTGGTGTAAACTAAATGCTGTGTTGATGGCAGTTCCTCGGCTCTGAGGAAAACTGGAAAGCGATGCGGTTGTCTTTGCGACACCAGCGCCACCAGATATATAATACCTCTCAGAAACACAAACTTAAAGTAAAAGATCTGAGTACTTATTTTAACTACGGAGCTTTAGCTAAATGTCGTATGAAGTGGTATTTCTCTCTTCTCTCTTCAGGACTAAGTCGGATTCACAGGATTTTTGCATCAGTGTGATGAAGAAAGGATTACTGTAGTCAAAAGCAGGCATTGCCAACGCTTATCATAATCTATTAATCTCTTAATTTAATTTAGATGTCACAATATAAAATGACACGCTGTCAAAAGATGGCGTGATCAGATCATCAGATTATCACCCGTTCATTATTCAGCCATGAGTGTTTTCTTTCTATTCTTATTGTATTCATTCGTGTGTTTGGCAGTAGCTTTTTGTTTAGCTCGCCTTAAAATAATACAAATATTACATAATGCTATTTCAGTATTCTCAGATAGCAAGATTATTTGCACTCAGCAGATTATTGTGCAGAGAATGTCTTGACCTTTGCCTTCTTTTGTACAACTAACTTAACAATTTACTGTTTCTAACATACACACAGTTTCACAGTATATGTGGATATATAATATATACACACATGTAAGTAATTCAAACTTAAAAAACATTTATTAGCATAAAGAAGCGTTCACGATGCCTTCTGCTTCTCACGGGGTGATTTTTTTACATCATAAAATAACATCTTCAGCGATCGGAATTTGGATTAAAAAATCCTCATTCATGATGACAGTTGTGATGTTCAGTTAATGAGCCTTCAGTTGACTTCAATAAGGTGTGAAGATGGTCGAATGTACCACCCGACTGGAGCTTCAAAGACACTTCATCCAACAACATCCATAAGATTTTCCAGAGATGATTCCCAAAAATGTTTGTTTCGCATTTTTTTCCACGGCTCAAAAGATTTAAGGGAGAGTGAGTGACAAGAGCTGCTTCCAATGTGCCCTTTGGCAAGACTTAAGTGGAATGAATCTGGAAAGAAATGTAAGCACTGAGAGAGAGCTCTGGCAACCACACCTGCATGAAGAAAAATAGATATTTATTTTCTCCTATTTACACATTTATTATACTCTTATCATAACCTCAGCGCTCACATGGAAACACTTAAAGGTGTCAGCCCATTCATAAAAAATAACCTCAGTTTACACGAGGGGCCTTTCATGCACAGATATGGATTGATCCCTGTGTTATTCGTCTCGTAGCCCGGAGCCGTGTAGTTTTTCCCCACAGAGATGAGATGATAGCTGAGGGAAAAACGGGGATGGGACTTCGCTGTGATTAATGGTGACGTGCAGAGCCTCCCTCTCCCCCAGGAGCTGTGCTCCCTGCTCGTGGAGACTCGGCTGAGGACAGCGCTGGGTTTTAAGTGGGCTGCTGTGAAGTCTGGAGGTGTTTCAAGTCGTAGCAGGGATGAGCTGTCCAATAATCCGTTCAGGGGTCTGCATTTTGGTTTTAATTCTATCAAAGCATGAAATAACACATTTTAATAATCCACCTCGGGCAGCTGAGAACAAGATAATGATGCTACAGAGGGCAGTTTTTGAATACGCTACAGTACGCTGGTACTTCAATTACTATATTTTCACATCTTATAATAAGTAAGAATCAGATTTGAGCCAAGCAACCAGAGAGGTTTGGTGACAATCAATCCAACGAGTCCTCATTCAAGATCTCATTCACAAAATGTACTTAAATATATGAGCGTTTTCCAATCAATGTGTTTAACCTCTTTTGGTCTCCACACGGACCGTTTACCTGCAATCAACAGAGGCTGCTTGAACGTGATTAGTCAATGCTACTTGGACATCTGAATGTTGACTCGAGTTGCTCGTCTAACTGTCTGGACTTCTTTCACCAGATTGAAGAGAGGCGCCACAGCGAGGGCAGCAACTCCACGTCCTGTGTCTTCATGGTGAACAAGCCATACGCCCTCACCTGCTCTGTGGTGGCCTTCTACATCCCGCTGGTCCTCATGGTGCTGGCCTACCAGAGGATCTACATCACGGCCCGCGCACACGCCCTGCAGATCAGCATGCTGCAGCGGGCGGGGGGAGCCGGGCTCGGTGCGGACTCCGCTGACCAGCAACGCAACCACCGCATGCGAACAGAGACCAAGGCAGCAAAGACTCTGTGCATCATCATGGGGTGTTTCTGCCTCTGCTGGGCGCCGTTCTTCGTCACCAATGTGGTGGACCCCTTTATAGACTACACGGTGCCAGACAAGCTGTGGGTGGCCTGCCTGTGGCTGGGCTACATCAACTCCATGCTGAACCCCATCCTCTACGCCTTCCTCAACAAGTCCTTCCGCCGTGCCTTCCTCATCATCCTGTGCTGTGGGAGGAAGAGGTACCGCAGGCCGTCCATCCTGGGGTCCGGCGCTCCCTGCACGGCCACGCAGATCAACGGCTCCACACATGTGCTCAAGTAAGTCCTCCGAATCATTTCAGTGTTGGGGTCTGGCTCCATGTTGATAAGGAATGGAACTGTTCTTTAAAAATCAAAGGTATCCATCATGTTCCAGAGTTCCCCTTTATCCTCAGAACAACGATTTATGTAGTGACATCATGTTGTCATGTGCTGTGTTTATTTGTTTGTAGTTTGTGTGTCAAAAAATAGTCATATTTGTTGTTTTTATGTCACTATTGGGTTTAAAGTAAAATGTTTTAGGCCTACAACATATCAAGAACAAGGTTGTATTCGGGTCATTCTTGTCATTTTGAAAATAATCTTCAAAAACATTCATAATTTTATAAAAAATGTCAGAATATGGGAATGAAGTGGTAATTTTATGAGTAAAAAATCAAATTTTTTGAAAATATTAGAAGAATACACAGGCCAAAATGTCATATTATGGCAGAAAGTTGTATCATTTGGTATCATAAAGCCTTCTTTATGATAACAAAGCTAAATTCTATATTCTTGAAATCTTTGAATTATTTAAGCCCAACAGTGAACCAAATCTTTTTAGTACAGAACACATTTCAGCTGATCTCCACCCTTGCATTCCTTGTTTTTGTCTACTTAAACCACGGCTTGCTCTTTGGTTTTACATTTGGGTTCTATGTCATAGTAGTAAGCTCACAGAATACAGAGGGAGCCATTAATCCTCCACCTGCCCTGTGTTCAGTAATCACTGCAGACATTGACTGAAGAATGTTCAGCGGGGGTCAAGTAACGACAGCGCATTGTGATAAAAATTATTTGTTTTTGGGGGTGTAAGAGACTTTATCTCTGTAAATACCCTCCCAGTCTTGACTCATTATTCTCCCGACCTATTGCTGTTTTTAAACATAGAACACGTGTTTCACAGAGATAAGAGTCTGATGTATAACGTGTACTCCGTAGTGGCCTTTTGCAAACTTAATCTCCATTTGTTTTCCCCCCATGTCCCTACGGATGGATAGGACGATGTTATTAGTCAATAATGATGAATCTAGCAGCTTATTTTTCATAGAATCCTTGTTATTGCTTGGAAGGTTAAATAATCCTGCATATATGACATTATATCTAGTATAATGCAGTATGTAGCTTATATAGTTTCTGACATGTGAAATGTATGAATAATATATAGTATCATAGTAGTGGGATAACCCCGAGACCCCACGAGGTTGTCTTTTCCTGTCACATCCATGTGAATGTAAAACAGAGCTTGAACCAATTTGCTAAGTGACTAAAGCACATAAACATGTGGTGTAACAGACCCTGAGTAAGAAATGCCATGCCAAATGTTTGTTTTATTTAGAGGAGCCACTTTTAATCCTTTCTTTTTCTACCAAATTAAACAGTCTGCCCCGACTTTCTCCTTCTCACATTAGACCCAAGTAGTGCTTCCTTTTTCTACAGAGCAGTAACCAAGAACAAGTTTGTGGTATTCTGTCTAAAAACTGCAAGAAACACCTCATCACATGTCAGTGGCAGGCCATGCATTTTATACCTGGGCCTTCAGTGCGGTCTTGCAGCTGAAACACAGCAAAGAAAACAGCCCAAACAGATTGAATTGTCCGGACAATAACTCCGCGCATGACGGTATGCTTCGTAATTAACGGACAATGCATATAGTCCAAATCTATATAATTAACACAATGACAAGAACAAACTCACAAGAAACAGTCACAGATATTCATATGACAACAAAGCAACAAATCAATCCAGCAACACTGCAGCGGAACACGCATTCTGCTGCACACTCAAGGGCCATTCAGATATTAGATGTAAAAAAACAAACGCAGTTGATTTACCAAATGCTGTTCACTTAAAGACAAACTCCATCCTCCTTTCTTTGTTGACAAAGAGTTTAATCCCACGGTTAAATCCCAACTCACAAATCCATTTCTCCTCCTTCAGCCATTGAGTGTTAAAAAAACAAAGCTAAGTAAAAAAAATACGAATCTACACCAAGCAAAATGCAAAAAATTTCATAATTTCTTCCATATCTTTCAATTTGAACTCTTACTACTCCGACTAAACTCCGATGGCTACCTTAAGTTTCATTTCACAATAGTCACGTGCTTGCCCACTGACCAATCACAGCACACGCTGCACCTCACTGCAGAGCTGCACCTGGAAACTGAGCTGCACGTAATGCTGACTGTGGTTGGGCTCAGCTGCAGAGGGGACAGAGTGGGGGAGTGGTTCAGGGAACGGTGCCGAGAAGAGGCTTGATTAACCGCAGCTGAAACCAATCTTGGATTGTGTCTCTCTCCCATATAAACGCTAGTAGGGATGGAACAGCGAGAGGGAAAAGCGGACAGGAGACACAGGCTGAGAATGGACAGAGAGGACGACAGACCCTCCCGACAGAATCATACATGGCGGGTGCGCTCGAAGGCAGTGCAGGAGAGCGCACGGCCGCGACCAGCCTGGACTCTAATTATCAATAAAGAACGATAGCAGCACTATCTGTGTGTACCAGTGTCATTGTGCTGGGAGAGCCCATGGTGGTAACAGGAACGTGTTACACTGACGTACTTATAGGCCAGCTAGAAGGCTCTGGCACGTCAAAGAATACGCCCAACATGTCAAACTAAAGATCTGATTGGTTGAAGACTATGACAATCAACAATATCGTCCCCATTCACTTAAACTGCACATGGATGCACTTGTGAGTCTGCAGGCCTCGGGCCTCTGTTCTTACCTAGAGACACAGAGGTGAGATCTGATTGGATAAAAGCTCTACTTAAAACAAGCTGCACTGGAAGCAGAGCAACTGAGGAAGACAGTAGCTGTGCAATGAGAAAATAAGATAATGGGAAAAATATTTTTATAAATTACAATACATGTAGTGTATTGAAGAAAAATGATTAAATTATAAAATAGTTATAAGTTTGTGATTCTGTTTAGACCAGCAGAGAAGGCCTTGCAGGCCCTGACGGCCCACCACTGATACATGTAGTGTGAGTATGCTGGATCTCTGTGTCCTTTATGGCATCATGTAAACACGGAGACAGACTTCCATTGCTGGAGACTGTTGGACGTGTTTGGACATTCGTCTTTATCTTTAGACCAAAGGTTTCATCATTGCTGAGGAATCAAACATCTGAACTTCTGAGTCAACCGTTGTAGACTTTTATAAAGCGTGGAACCAGTCTGAGTCAAAGTATTGTGCCCTTGCTTCCTCTGACCTAAAGGCTTTTTGTTTCTGACATTAAAAGGAGGCTTTTTAACATAACTGCAATGAAACAAAAGGTTTCATTTTAACTCATTATGCTCATTTTTGCACCAAAACCACAAAGTGACCTCTAGAAGACACACATGCATTATGGCTGACGGCCTTTTCAGTGGCAATCAGTCACTTTTAGTAACCTTATCAAGCCGCAGTAGCACTTTTCTGCAAAGGTCCTTTTTCTTACTTTCCCATCCAGTGCGCCTGATAAAGGTCAGAGATGACTTAACATCAGTTTACAATGACTTCGTCCAAGGAAGGAACAGTGCCTTCAAGACTTCAGACGCCGCCAACGACAATTCACACACCTGCAAACTAGGTTTTCTCCTCACGCACTGGAACAGGGTGTAATGAGTTAACACCTTTCCTTTCTATATAATGACTACTGTGGGCCAGAAGTCGCGGATGAAGCCATGTTAAAAATAACTGGACATAACTAGATCTATATATATATATATATATATATATATATATATATATATATATATATATACTACTGTCAAGACAAAACTAAATGATCTGGCAGAAATGTTCTGAAATAGCAAGACTGTAGAAAAGTGTATCTCAAATGCTTGAAATTAAACTTTATCCAGTGTTTAGAGCATGAACATGATCCTCTTGCACGCTGATGCTGCAGATCCTTTGAGACTTGTGTTTGAGCTCCAGAAACTATTTGTTTTGAATGATTTGACTCTCGAGTTCTGCTGAAATAGCTGTTATAATATCGAGGCAGCAAATGTACAATTTTCATTCAAACTGGTGTTGACATCCTGACATCGTGGCGCTGGAGCTCATTGTATTAAATCAACGAGTGTGTTTATAACAGCACGGAAGCCCTGACCAATTAATGTCCGCTCTGCCGACAGTAAGCGCAACATTTTCAATCCCACTCTGACATTTCTGGACGACCTCCAGAGAGTTGTTACTGAGGATAGAAAGGGAGCTATTAAAGTGAGCCTGTCCATCTGGAAGTCATCTGTACTCTCATTATTTTACTGAGAAGTGAGTACTACTGAAATAAAATTACAATTATTCACACAGGAATAGTAATACCAGGAGACCACCAAATTACCAACTAGATTTAACCAAAAATAGATGTGATGTAATAATAGGCCTGTGTCTGTGGCATTTCACCCCTGAGGCAGCAACTTTCCCTTTTTCTCATGCTTTTTTCCATCCTCTTCCAGGATGAGATTAGATCAAATGATACATTTAAAATGAACCAGATTGTTGTATGTGTAGAAATACATAGTTTTAATACAAATAAACATTGTAAACATGAGTTTATGGTCTCAATCTCTAGTTTCAAGTCTTCTTCAATACAGCATGATGTTCATTTAGTAAATCATGGTCCATTTAGAGTCAAACAGACCATAAAGCAGGGGATGCTTTTGGGCGAGGCTACAGGGTGATTGACATGTAACAAGGCATGGTCCGGTCTGGGTGTTGTCCGTGTTTTCGTCTCACAACTTTAACTCTTTTTCCTTAGCTCCACCCTCTCGTGTCACTTCTGGTTGCAAAAAATCAAGATGGCGATGATCAGAAACCCAAGAAGGGGACGATCGAAATGCTGAACCAGGGGTCCACAAACCAACGTGTGACATCACGGTCACTACGTCCACGACTTATCGTGTAACATAACACGTTATTAAAGTCTTAACCCTTGTCTTTCCCTCAAACTTTGCTTGCACATTTGATGCATTCGACAAAATACTTAAATTAACATAAAGTATTGTTACTTCAACAAATCAGGAAATATTTC